CTCCCTTTGGGAACACGAGGTAGAGGAGGCTGGGCTTATGAGGGTACGGGGAACCTCCCTTGGAACATTGAGGTAGAGGATGCCGGCTTATGAGGTACGGGGATACCTCCCGGGAACACTGAGGTAGAGGAGACTGGGCTTATGAGGTACGGGGATACCTCCATGGGAAACACTGAGGTAGGGGAGGCTGGCTTATGAGGTACGGGATACCTCCCGGGGAACACTGAGGTAGAGGAGGCTGGGTTTATGAGTACGGGGATACCTCCCTGGGAACACTGAGGTAGAGGAGGCTGGGTTTATGAGTAGGGGGTTTACCTCCCTGGGAACACTGGGGTAGAGGGGGGCTGGGTTTATGAGGTACGGGGATACCTCCCTGGGAACACTGGGTAGAAGAGCTGGGCTTATGAGGTAGGGGGATACCTCCCTGGGAACACTGAGGTAGGGGATGCTGGGCTTATGAGGTACGGGGATACCTCCGGGGAACACTAGGGTAGAGGAGGCCTGGGCTTATGAGGTAGGGGGGAATACCTCCCGGGGAACACTGAGGTAGAGGAGGCTGGCTTATGAGGTACAGGGATACCTCCCTGGGAACACTGAGGTAGAGGAGGCTTGGCTTATGAGGTACAGGGATACCTCCCTGGAAAAACTGAGGTAGAGGAGCCTGGGCTTATGAGGTACAGCGATACAGGGATACCTCCCTGGGAACACTGAGGTAGAGGAGACTGGGCTTATGAGGTACGGGGATACCTCCCTTTGAACACTGAGGTAGATGAGACTGGGCTTATGAAGTACAGGATACCCCCCTGGGAACACTGAGGTAGAGGAGACTGGGCTTATGGGGTACGGGATACCTCCCGGGGAAACACTGAGGTAGAGGAGACGGGGTTTTAAATGAGGTACGGGATACCTCCCTGGGAACACTGAGGTAGAGGAGACTGGGCTTATGAAGTACGGGGATACCTCCCTGGGAACACTGAGGTAGAGGAGACTGGGCTTATGAAGTACGGGGATACCTCCCTGGGAACACTGAGGTAGAGGAGACGGGGCTTAAAGAAGTAACGGGGATACCTCCCTGGGAACATTTGAGAGAGGAAAACTGGGCTTATGAAGTACGGGATACCTCCCGGGGAACACTGAGGTAGAGGAGACTGGGCTTATGAGGTACGGGGATACCTCCCTGGGAACACTGAGGTCTAGAGGAGACTGGGCTTATGAGGTACGGGGATACCTCCCTGGGAACACTGAGGTCTAGAGGAGACTGGGCTTATGAAGTACGGGGATACCTCCCTGGGAACACTGAGGTAGAGGAGACTGGGCTTATGAAGTACGGGGATACCTCCCTGGGAACACTGAGGTAGAGGAGACTGGGCTTATGAAGTACGGGGTTTACCTCCCGGGGAACACTGGGTAGAGAGACTGGGCTTATGAAGTACGGGATACCTCCCTGGGAACACTGGGGTAGAGGAGACTGGCTTATGAAGTACGGGGATACCTCCCTGGGAAACACTGAGGTAGAGGAGACTGGGCTTATGAAAGTAGGGGGAATACCTCCCGGGAAACACTGGGGTAGAGGAAAACTGGGCTTATGAAGTACGGGGATACCTCCCTGGGAACACTGAGGTAGAGGAGACTGGCTTATGAAGTACGGGATACCTCCCTGGGAACACTGAGGTAGAGGAGACGGGGCTTATGAAGTACGGGGATCCCTCCCGGGGAAACACTGAGGTAGAGGAGACTGGGCTTATGAAGTAGGGGGATCCTCCCTGGGAACACTGAGGTAAGGAGACGGGGCTTATGAAGTACGGGGATACCTCCCTGGGAACACTGAGGTAGAGGAGACGGGGTTTTATGAAGTACGGGGAAATACCTCCCTGGGTGGCGGGGGCGGACCATAACACATCTAGTTTACTGTCACGTTCACAAGGAAGCGCTGAACCCGTAAGGGTCATGAAGCGTCTGGAGAGTGGGAGATGATCGCGTAGGAGTCAAAGGTGAAAAAGACAGCTCCAACCCCTTGGATTTAAAGGGGTTTTACCGGTCTCGGGGGGGGCGGGGGGGGAGTTCCTAGAGTACATAGGGATTGGCCTAGACTAAAATACTAACGATTTTGTCTGGAATTTAACGGACGGGGGCCCCGACCTCTATACTGTTGGAGGGAGTATGAACCTCCAACACTGTTGGAGGGGGTATGAACCTCCACCACTGTCAGAGGGAGTATGAAACCTCCAACACTGTCGGAGGGAGTATGAACCCCCCAACACTATTGAGGGAGTATGAAAACCCCCACCATTTTTGGAGGGAGTATGAACCTCCAACACTGTTGGAGGGAGTATGAACCTCCACCACTGTTGGAGGGAGTATGAACCTCCACCATTGTTGGAGGGAGTATGAACCTCCACCACTTTCAGAGGGAGTATGAACCTCCACCACTGTCAGAGGGAGTATGAACCTCCAACACTATTGGAGGGAGTATGAACCTCCAACACTGTTGGAGGGAGTATGAACCTCTACCACTATTGGAGGGAGTATGAACCTCCAACACTGTTGGAGGGAGTATGAACCTCCACCACTGTTGGAGGGAGTATGAACCTCCACCATTGTTGGAGGGAGTATGAACCTCCAACACTGTTGGAGGGAGTATGAACCTCCACCACTGTTGGAGGGAGTATGAACCTCCACCATTGTTGGAGGGAGTATGAACCTCCACCACTGTTGGAGGAAGTGTGAACCTCCACTACTATTGGAGGGAGTATGAACCTCCACCTCTGTTGGAGGTAGTATGAACCTCCCCACTGTTGGAGGGAGTATGAACCTCCACCACTGTTGGAGGGAGTATGAACCTCCACCACTGTCGGAGTATGAACCTCCACCACTATTGGAGGAAGTATGAACCTCCACCACTATTGGAGGGAGTATGAACCTCCAACACTGTTGGAGGGAGTATGAACCTCCACCACTGTTGGAGGGAGTATGAACCTCCACCATTGTTGGAGGGAGTATGAATCTCCCTCACTGTTGGAGGGAGTTTGAACCTCCACCACTATTGGAGGGAGTATGAACCTCCACCACTGTTGGAGGGAGTATGAACCTCCGCCACTGTTGGAGGGAGTATGAACCTCCCCCACTGTAGGAGGGAGTATGAATCTCCACCACTGTTGGAGGGAGTATGAACCTCCACCACTGTTGGAGGGAGTATGAACCTCCCCCACTTTTGGAGGGAGTATGAACCTCCCCTACTGTTGGAGGGAGTATGAACCTCCACCACTGTTGGAGGGAGTATGAACCTCCCCCTCTGTTGGAGGGAGTATGAACCTCCACCACTGTTGGAGGGAGTATGAACCCCCCTCTTGGAGGGAGTATGAACCTCCACCACTGTTGGAGGGAGAATGAATCTCCACCACTGTTGGAGGAAGTATGAACCTCCACCACTGTTGCATGAAGGTTTAAATCTCCACCACTGTTGGATGAAGGTTGAAACCTCCATCACTGTTGGAGGAAGGTTCAAACTTCCACCACTGTTGGAGGGAGTGTGAAGCTCCCCCACTGTTGGAGGGAGTATGAATTTCCACCACTGTTGGAGGGAGTATGAACCTCCACCACTGTTGGATGAAGGTTTAAATCTCCACCACTGTTGGAGGAAGGTTTAAACTTCCACCACTGTTGGATGAAGGTTCAAACCTCCATCACTGTTGGAGGAAGGTTCAAACTTCCACCACTGTTGGAGGGAGTGTGAACCTCCCCCACTGTTGGAGGGAGTATGAACCTCAACCACTGTTGGAGGTAGTATGAACCTCGACCACTGTTGGGAGTATGAATCTCCACCACTTTTGGAGGGAGTATGAACCTCCACCTCTGTTGGAGGGAGTATGAACCTCAACCACTGCTGGAGGTAGTATGAACCTCCACCACTGTTGGAGGGAGTATGAACCTCTACCACTGTTGGAGGGAGTATGAACCTCCACCACTGTTGGAGGGAGTATGAACCTCCACCACTGTTGGAGGGAGTATGAACCTCCGCCACTGTTGGAGGGAGTATGAACCTCCACCACTGTTGGAGGGAGTATGAACCTCCCCCACTTTTGGAGGGAGTATGAACCTCCCCTACTGTTGGAGGGAGTATGAACCTCCACCACTGTTGGAGGGAGTATGAACCTCCCCCACTGTTGGAGGGAGTATGAACCTCCACCACTGTTGGAGGGAATATGAACCTCCACTACTGTTGGAGGGAGTATGAATCTCCACCACTGTTGGAGGTAGTATGAACCTCCACCTCTGTTGGAGGGAGTATGAATCTCCACCAATGTTGGAGGGAGTATGAACCTCCACCACTGTTGGAGGAAGGTTCAAACATCCACCACTGTTGGAAGAAGGTTCAAACATCCACCACTGTTGGAGGGAATATGAACCTCCACCACTGTTGGAGGAAGGTTCAAACATCCACCACTGTTGGAGGGAGTTTGAACCTCCACCACTGTTGGAGGAAGGTTCGAACCTCCACCACTGTTGGAGGGAGTTTGAACCTCCACCACTGTTGGAGGAAGGTTCGAACCTCCACCACTGATTGTGATGAATAACCCTCACGGGTTTAGCTATTCAGGTATTAATAATAGTAAAAATAATAATAATAATTAATAATAATTATATAATAATAATGTAAATATAATGCAAATAAAATAATAATAATAATAATAATAATAATAATAATAATAATAATAATAATAATAATAATAATGATGATGATAATAATAATAATAATAATATTAATAATAATAACAATAATAATAATATAATAATAATAATAATAATAATAATAATAATAATAATAATAATAATAATAATAATAATAATAATATAATCATAATAATAATAATGATAATAATAATAAAAATAATAATAATAATAATAATAATAATAATAATAATAATAATAATAATAATAATTTCTCCATTTACATGTTTGGGACAAAAATAAAAGTTTACAATTATATCAATTTATAATTTATTATTGTGAGTGTTGTATGGAGTGTAAAACCCAGAGACGTGACTAATGTTGTATTTACCACTGACATATACATTATACAACATCCTTACTAACTACACCATTGTATTATTCATCTATCTGCTGGGAAGAAATATATTTGAGATAGATAATTCATCGCTTCACTGAACAACAACAAGACGATGTATGATAGATGAATGTGTTCAAAGAAGTAATTTTTATACATTACTTTGATTATCATGTTTGTGGGGGGAAGTGCTTATCCGGGGGGGGGGTGTCATGCAGCACCTGGGGGGGATGGGAAGTAATCAGGTTTGATCCGAGGAAGGGGAGGGGTAGCTTCATTTCTTTGAATGTAGAGACTCAACAACATGAAGGTACCACCGTCCTGGAAGAATAAACTTGGCTGTAAGAGAGAGCAGCAGCAGCAGCTCTAATACTGTTGTGTTACAGCAGGGTGTGGTACAACAAGGTACAATGTGGTACAGAGTAGCGGTGTGGGCGGCTTGGGACTCTTCTACTGGGCGGCGTCTGCTGTCTTGGGTAGTGACACAGAGAGGGTAATCTGGACGGCGTGTGGTGAGGTAGGTGTGTGGGCGTGGGCGGGGTACTGCGTGGAGGCTGTGTTATGGGTGTGGGCGGGCTGGGTGTGGGCGAGCTGGGTGGTGGCAGATGAAGTCATCACTAATGGGACCACTGGACACTGCTGGCTGTTGCCTGAAGAAGACAGACTGAAGGAGCTCTTAGAGGTGTGACCCTCAACAGCGTCGCTGTAGGGCATGTGGAGGCTGCGGCGGGGCCATCCACCTGCCGCCCAACATGTAGTAGGTGGCAGGTCTCCTCCCACTACATCAAGACCTTCCTCCGTCTTTATCTCCTGCTGGGTAGCTTCGGTCTTTATAACGCAAGACGAGGTTCCGTGCTTCTCCCTAATCTCCAACCTCTGCCGTTCTTTGTGACTCTGATCTTCAAGGTCTTGAAGGTGATGGTGGTGGTCTTTGGCCAGTTGCAGGATGTTGCTGTTGCTGACTTGTAAATGGTGGTTGGTCTCGCTCAGCAGGTGTTGGTCTGTGGATGCCTGAAGGTGCAGGGTTTCGCTGGACCGCGGGTGATACTTGGACACCTCGAGGTCATCTCCAGCAGCGTGCTGCAGATGGTCTTCAGGGACTTTTGTATGTGGGCCCTCAACCATCTGCAGGCGGTGCTCATCTATAACTTTCAAGCGGAGATCGTCAGTGAGGTGCAGGTGATGTCTCTGGCTTGTTTGGTGACCCAATTGAGCACCACTCACCTCCATGCAGTTCTCCTCCATTACGTCATCCTGGTGAAGCGGAGGTCGGTCAGGAGCCAGGAGACTCAGAACATCGAACTGACGTTTTGGCCTGGTTAGGCAGATCGCAGGGTCGGTGACTGACGCGCGGGCGGTGACGCCCTGAGCGGGCGTATCCTGGGAGGTCAGTTCGAGGGCGGGAGTGTCATGAGACGGAAGTGTTGGTGGCGGGGGCGAGAGAGCCTCAGGTTCAGAGTCGTCATCCACGGCCAGACCCAAGTGTTTCCTGACGCGGGCGCTGGGCGCGCCGTCGGCGGAAGTCACCCCTCCTGAAGTCGTCTATATTGGCGGGATGGATGGCCCAGTAGTGGCCCTTCCCGTTGGCGGAGCGACCTGACTTCATGAAGCAGTCGTTGAGGGAGAGGTTATGACGGATGGAGTTGCGCCAGCCAGTACCGCGGGACCGGAAGTACGGGTAGTGGTCCAGGATGTACTGGTAGATGTCGCTGAGTATCAGTTTCTTCTCAGGGCTGCTGAGGATGGCCATGGCGATGAGACCGATGTAGGAGTGCTGAGGCTTGGGTTCCTCTGGGCCCCGGGGCAACAACATCCGGGGGTCGAGGAGCCTGTAACCGTAGAGTGGGTGGGGCGGTGGATATGATGCTGGGGGTACCTGGGTAGATGCCCCACCCATAAATCCTCCTCCGAAAGTCATAGAGCCCAGGCCGCCCATCATGGGCATACCGAGGCCTCCCATGAAGCTGCCGCCCATGGTGGCCTCCTGGAGGTGGTGATGGTGTGGTGAGAGCGGGGGTCTGGCCCAGGCCAGGCCAGCAGAGGCCAGACGGAGGCGTTCGGCCAGGGCCAGCTGGTACAGCAGGCGCTGCTGGTCAGTGGGCACGGGCATCGTGTGGGCCTCACTCACAGCCTTGACAGCCACGGGCGCCACCACCGTGGGCGGCGATACCGAAGACTCACGCCCACAAACTGAGTCCATGCCTGGGCTGGCTGGCCGCGGGGACATGACTCGCACTAGTCACTGTGTTAGTCCTCACTGGCAGCGAGGAAGGTGACACCCACTCTGCTCACCCTCTGCTGCTCTCATCTTAAGCTCTAGTTTGCCCTCGGCCGCAGTATAAGAGGCGGTGTCGCCGGCCCGCCCCAGATTACTGTTCTTGGCACGGCCAATGGCAGGGAAGGTGGGCGGAGTGAAGGAGAGTGGGAGGAGTGAGAGAAAAGTGGGCGGGACTAGCCGTGGAGAGGGTGGAGGGAGACGTAAGAGAGCACAGCAGTCCTCTACCAAGCACCATGACTGTAGGGGGATACACAGCCGCCGCCCAGCGCCTCACTCGCCCTCACTTCCTTGTATCTACATTATTTTCCACTTAAATATCTTTGTTGCACAAAATCCCTGGAGTTGTTCCTCAACACGTCACTTGTTCCAGGACAACCAATGCAATATTAACGTACATCAGCACCTGTGACTTTAACAACTTATTGCAAACTTGTGTTTACAGCACCTAGTGTTGTAGACACAAGTAGTAACACATGGCGGCAACACTCCCTGGTCGAGTCCTGCATCAGTCACGGGGTAACACAACTTACCAAACACTTACTGTTAACACTGCTGGAGTTGACGATCGTCTGTAACACTCATCACAATAACATCAATTTTGATTCACTAACAATAAAGCTTTCTCTGAAAAATGAAAATGAAAATCTCTGTTACCTAAAAGTACAGAATATAGCTATAACAATGTGATATATTTTACGGTCTTGTTGAAAGACCCGGATTATGCACAGTATTTAGGGCAGTCTTGAAATTAACCTCTATTCTCTGCATAATATTTCACTGGTGATTCAGTTCAAGTTTTTAGAAAAGAAGCAGAGTATAACATTAGTCTTATTGTGTCATGCATTAAAAATATTAGCTGAGATTTAAATAATTAATAAGCATTTCCTAGAAATGAGGTTCAGAGTCCATGTAGATACTTAACTCGCTATATCCGGGACACAGAAAAGCACATTTGCTGAATGGTTCTATAACTTAGTGTAAATAACATAAAGGTAGATAAATACCTCGGCTGAGTAGAGTTATAACTCAGTGTCATAACTTAAACATAAAATACAAGTATATTTACAAAGTAACATGGAATATAAACAGACTGAGAGGTTGATGTTGTAGTAGCCAGGCTTAGGCTTGGTTACAAGTACTGACTGATGTTGTACTAGCCAGACTTAGGCTTGGTTACAAGCACTGACTGATGTTGTAGTAGCCAGACTTAGGCTTGGTTACAAGTACTGACTGATGTTGTACTAGCCAGACTTAGGCTTGGTTACAAGTACTGACTGATGTTGTAGTAGCCAGACTTAGGCTTGGTTACAAGCACTGACTGATGTTGTAGTAGCCAGACTTAGGCTTGGTTACAAGTACTGACTGATGTTGTACTAGCCAGACTTAGGCTTGGTTACAAGTACTGACTGATGTTGTAGTAGCCAGACTTAGGCTTGGTTACAAGCACTGACTGATGTTGTAGTAGCCAGACTTAGGCTTGGTTACAAGTACTGACTGATGGTGTAGTAGCCAGACTTAGGCTTGGTTACAAGTACTGACTGATGTTGTAGTGGCCAGACTTAGGCTTGGTTACAAGTACTGACTGATGTTGTAGTAGCCAGATTTAGGCTTGGTTACAAGTACTGACTGATGTTGTAGTAGCCAGACTTAGGCTTGGTTACAAGTACTGACTGATGTTGTAGTAGCCAGACTTAGGCTTGGTTACAAGTACTGACTGATGTTGTAGTAGCCAGACTTAGGCTTGGTTACAAGTACTGACTGATGTTGTTGTAGCCAGGCTTAGGCTTGGTTACAAGTACTGACTGATGTTGTAGTAGCCAGACTTAGGCTTGGTTACAAGTACTGACTGATGTTGTAGTGGCCAGACTTAGGATTGGTTACAAGTACTGACTGATGTTGTAGTAGCCAGGCTTAGGCTTGGTTACAAGTACTGACTGATGTTGTAGTAGCCAGACTTAGACTTGGTTACAAGTACTGACTGATGTTGTACTAGCCAGACTTAGGCTTTGTTACAAGTACTGACTGATGTTGTAGTAGCCAGACTTAGGCTTGGTTACAAGTACTGACTGATGTTGTAGTAGCCAGACTTAGGCTTGGTTACAAGTACTGACTGATGTTGTAGTAGCCAGACTTAGGCTTGGTTACAAGTACTGACTGATGTTGTACTAGCCAGACTTAGGCTTGGTTACAAGTACTGACTGATGTTGTAGTAGCCAGACTTAGGCTTGGTTACAAGTACTGACTGATGTTGTAGTAGCCAGACTTAGGCTTGGTTACAAGTACTGACTGATGTTGTAGTGGCCAGACTTGGGCTTGGTTACAAGTACTGACTGATGTTGTAGTAGCCAGACTTAGGCTTGGTTACAAGTACTGACTGATGTTGTAGTAGCCAGACTTAGGCTTGGTTACAAGTACTGACTGATGTTGTAGTAGCCAGACTTAGGCTTGGTTACAAGTACTGACTGATGTTGTAGTAGCCAGACTTAGGCTTGGTTACAAGTACTGACTGATGTTGTAGTAGCCAGACTTAGGCTTGGTTACAAGTACTGACTGATGTTGTAGTAGCCAGACTTAGGCTTGGTTACAAGTACTGACTGATGTTGTAGTAGCCAGACTTAGGCTTGGTTACAAGTACTGACTGATGTTGTAGTAGCCAGACTTAGGCTTGGTTACAAGTACTGACTGATGTTGTAGTAGCCAGACTTAGGCTTGGTTACAAGTACTGACTGATGTTGTAGTAGCCAGACTTAGGCTTGGTTACAAGTACTGACTGATGTTGTAGTGGCCAGACTTAGGCTTGGTTACAAGTACTGACTGATGTTGTTGTAGGCAGACTTAGACTTGGTTACAAGTACTGACTGATGTTGTAGTAGCCAGGCTTAGGCTTGATTACAAGTACTGACTGATGTTGTAGTAGCCAGACTTAGGCTTGGTTACAAGTACTGACTGATGTTGTAGTAGCCAGACTTAGGCTTGGTTACAAGTACTGACTGATGTTGTAGTAGCCAGACTTAGGCTTGGTTACAAGTACTGACTGATGTTGTACTAGCCAGACTTAGGCTTGGTTACAAGTACTGACTGATGTTGTACTAGCCAAACTTAGGCTTGGTTACAAGTACTGACTGATGTTGTAGTAGCCAGACTTAGGCTTGGTTACAAGTACTGACTGATGTTGTAGTAGCCAGACTTAGGCTTGGTTACAAGTACTGACTGATGTTGTACTAGCCAGACTTAGGCTTGGTTACAAGTACTGACTGATGTTGTAGTAGCCAGACTTAGGCTTGGTTACAAGTACTGACTGATGTTGTAGTAGCCAGACTTAGGCTTGGTTACAAGTACTGACTGATGTTGTACTAGCCAGACTTAGGCTTGGTTACAAGTACTGACTGATGTTGTAGTAGCCAGACTTAGGCTTGGTTACAAGTACTGACTGATGTTGTAGTAGCCAGACTTAGGCTTGGTTACAAGTACTGACTGATGTTGTAGTAGCCAGACTTAGGCTTGGTTACAAGTACTGACTGATGTTGTACTTCCGGCAGTTTGGAGGACATGCAGATGATGATCAAACTAAACGTACAGTGTGTGGTCAGTCTTAAGGTCACTATCTGGAACACTATGTGTCTCATTGCTCAGTTATTCATTAATATAGTTATATTATGATCAGCCAGGCGATGTCAAGGTCATATTAATGAAAATAAAATATCAGATATTAGGGTAAGTGTGTTAAAATTATCTTAAAAGATAAATGAAGATCAATTTTTAAAGAATATTTTCATAAATGTTTTCTCGTTAGCCCTTTTAGGTGTCTAGATTACTGGCCTTAAGTGTGTAAATATGAGGTGCACAATAAACTAGCCACTACCATCCACGGGATGGATATGAGGTACACAATAAACTAGCCACTACCATCCACAGGATTGATATGAGGTACACAATAAACTAGCCACTACCATCCACAGGATGGATATGAGGTACACAATAAACTAGCCACTACCATCCACAGGATTGATATGAGGTGCACAATAAACTAGCCACTACCATCCACAGGATGGATATGAGGTGCACAATAAACTAGCCACTACCATCCACAGGATTGATATGAGGTACACAATAAACTAGCCACTACCATCCACAGGATTGATATGAGGTACACAATAAACTAGCCACTACCATCCACAGGATTGATATGAGGTGCACAATAAACTAGCCACTACCATCCACAGGATGGATATGAGGTACACAATAAACTAGCCACTACCATCCACAGGATGGATATGAGGTGCACAATAAACTAGCCACTACCATCCACAGGATGGATATGAGGTACACAATAAACTAGCCACTACCATCCACAGGATTGATATGAGGTACACAATAAACTAGCCACTACCATCCACAGGATTGATATGAGGTGCACAATAAACTAGCCACTACCATCCACAGGATGGATATGAGGTACACAATAAACTAGCCACTACCATCCACAGGATGGATATGAGGTGCACAATAAACTAGCCACTACTATCCACAGGATGGATATGAGATACACAATAAACTAGCCACTACCATCCACAGGATGGATATTATTTTTATTATTAACACATCGGTCGTTTCCCACCTAGGCAGGTTGGCATTCACTTCTCAGGTGTTGGCAAGAGGTGAGGGGTTAAAAGGTAAAGAATCTAACATAAAGTGGGAGTTGTCACAGTTGCTCTTTTCTGATGACACTGTGCTTTTGGGAGATCCTGAAGTGAAGTTGCAGAGGTTGGTTGATGAGTTTAGTAGGGTATATAAACGAAGGAAATTAAAAGTGAATATAGGAAAGAGTAGGTGATGAGGATAAAAACTTTAAGTAACGGAAGATTGGATATCACATTGGAGGGGGAGAATTTGGAGGAGATGAATGTGTTCAAATTGATATAGGGTGCACAATAAACTAGCCTCTACCATCCACGGGATGGATACAGGATGCACAATAAACTAGTCACTGCCATCCACAGGATGGATACAAAGTGCACAATAAACTAGCCACTACTACCGCCCAGAGAAGAGGGTCGTAGTCTGGGCTAGGGCAGGCAGGGCTGTTTCCCCTGACCCTGGATTAGGCTCTTTTATATGCAAATTAGCCCAGACTATAAGGTGGTCCTTATAAAATAAGACTGATACGCGTTAATCAACGAGGATAGACTGTGTGAGCCAGTGGTGAGTGTGTCAGACCGCTGGCCAGCCAGTGTTGAATGTGTTAGACCACTTGTCAGCCAGGGTAAAGTGTGTTAGACCACTGGTCAGGCAGGGTAGAGTGTGTTAGACCATTGGTCAGCCAGGGTAGAGTGTGTTAGATCACTGGTCAGGCAGGGTAGAGTGTGTTAGACCACTGGTCAGCCAGGGTAGAGTGTGTTAGACCACTGGTCAGCCAGGGTAGAGTGTGTTAGACCACTGCTCAGCCAGGG